TGAGCACAAGTCGTTAATGTAAACCAAGAAGAGATTTGGTCCCAGGATACTGCCCTGAGGGACTCCAAACGTGACACAGGCATCTGAGCTAATAATTTTTTTTTATTTTTACTCTCTGCACATGGTCATATAGAAAATCCTTAAAAATAGAAAGGGCAGAATCTCTTAATCCAATTTTTTCTAGTTTGTTTACAAGAATTGGTATCGAAACGGTCTCGAAAGCTTTGGCTAAATCTAGGAAAATCCCTACACACTTCTGTTTATGGTCCAGTTTATTTGTTACAAATTCGGTCAAGTTACGAACAGCATCTTCTGTACTAACACCCGCTCTGAATCCGAACTGCATATTAGATAAGATATTATATTTGTTTAGAAATTTAACCAAACGATTATTAAGCATCCTTTCTAAGATTTTTGAAAGAGCAGGTAGCAATAGATCGGCCTGTAATTTTTAACAACGTCCCGAGCCCCATTCTTGTAAACAGGAGTAATGAGAGATCTTTTAAAAACTTTTGGAAAGCATCCTTGTTCAAAACAGATTTTAAAAAGGGTTGTGAGTGGCAGAAGTATTTTATCCTTGGTCATTTTTAGGAAGACAGCAGGAATGGAATCCCAACCAATAGCACAATCATTTCTAAGACCCATTAATATTGTTTCAACTTCTAACTCGTCAGGAGAATCGAGCACAAATGAATTAAGCGACCAGGGCATAGTATTAATATTAGCAGGTTTAACACCGTTTGCTGGAATTTTATCAGCTAATTTTCTACCTAAAGTTGAAAAATAGTAATTAGCTCTCTCCACTGAATCTGTAGGATTTTTAATGATCAAATTTTCAGCGTAATTATTTTTAGTATCACACCCGGAGATGGCTTTTATTGCAGACCAAGTTTCTTTACTGTTTTTTGCATTTGCCAAAAGACTTTTTTCATATTGGCGCTTGAGCTTACTTAACAAGGAATTGCAGTAATTCCTATAACGCTTATAAGAAATTTGAAGTATTTCATTGTCAGGGTTCTTTTTCAGTTTTTGGTGAAGTTTATCGCGGTGATGGATACACCTTATCAGTCCAGGCGTCATCCAGGCCTTAAGCGTTGGTTTCGCTCTAGGAATCTTAATTTTAACAGTATTTTTCTTTTATGGCAGAGGTTAGTAAATCAACAAATTTTTCGGCAGTCGTGTCTGCATTTGAAGTTGAAGATATAAAAGAAAAATCAGCAGACTCTATAGATTTGATGGCATCATCATGATTTATTTTATCAATGAAAATATTATTAGGCTTGCGTTTGGGGTTCAAAGAAACATTTGTTAAGATTAAGGAGTGATCAGTGATTACATTATCGAGTACCATTATTTGAGTGTTTAATACTGTTTTCACCATAACATGGTCTAAACAATTATTGATACGGGTGGGATAGGTATGACCTGGTAAAAGACCTAATCCTGCAGTTAAATTTAAATAAGGCTCACAGTCTTTGTCTTTATTGCCTCGAATAATATTTATATTGATATCGCCCATAATAAATATGTTACTAGATTTTAAGGGACGAATAATTTTTTCTACAGAATCTAAAAAGTTGTCAATATAATAATAGGAGGGTGATCTATATACCGCTAATATTACTATATCTGGATTTATTTTAATCAAAAGATAGTTACCACCATTTGAATCAGGTTCTGTTATTATACAATCAATTGAGTGTTTAGAATAAACTGTTATACCATCATTTTGGATTGAACATTTTTTTGAGAAATGACATTTGTAACCTGGAAGCCGAGGAATAGGCTTATTAACATCAAGGCGACATTCTATTAGTATTATAATATCCGGTTCAAATGAAAGTTGTGATATATATGCCATAAAGCCATCCAGGTTTTTATAGACGCTACGTATATTTTGTGCAATGATATTCAAAGAATTACAGGATTTCCTGACAATATCATTGCATTTTAAAACATCACACACAAAAGATGAAGCCACCCTAAGACGCCCATTACACGCCTAGGCAAGCGTCAATCAGTTCGATCAATCATGACTGAGGTTTGAATGATGGAATAATTTGGACATTACACGCTCATGCTGACTGATCGTCAGTCAAACCCAAATTTTCGGAGTGAAAGGACGTACCTATAAACTAAGTTCATTTTCGATTCACCATTTAATTATAATTTTATATCTTGAAAAGAAAAAGAAAAAAACGAATAGGAAAAATTGTAATATTTAATATCATTTTACCCATTTTAATTTAACGCGCGCAAATGTTAGATCTCTTGGAGTGCATAATCATTACGCGGCTTTATTTGAAACGCATTTATGGACGAAAAAAAGCTTAACTTTTACATTTATTCGTATAGGGTGGATGCCCCTATTACCAGCCTTTTAGTGCCAATTTCAATTTCCTTTTGTGTACCTAATGCCAGCATAACATAGGGCTATGCCTTTTGAGTTTTTAGTAGGTACCTATTGTAGATAAGTTTTAGGGACACTGAAATAAATTCATAACAACTTTTAATTTTAAATCATGCATGTCACAAGTATTTTAACGTGGTAGAGCCATGCTGCAGCTATATTAGTAGTATAGTTGTAGCACGAATGGGTCGGCTCGACCGGGGAAGGACCACGCTCTCACAGAAAACCAGCGTAAAATAGCAGCTTAACGCTGCTGTGTTTCGTATGGTGAGTTATATAGGATAGGGTGACAAACGAGCACACAGTCCATGATGGTAAGTGGCTACTATGACCCATAGACATCTACATCTATCCTCAATATAGACTCAAGATGCAGATGCGTTGTCACCCGTGAGGACTAAGATGGAATGCCTCTTTGCCAGTAAAAAGGGTCTCCGGTTCTCTACACTCACCATATGAAACACAGCAGCGTTAAGCTGCTATTCTACGTTGGTTTTCTGTGTGAGTTCAAATTAATGGTATTTATTCTAGTTTATGACAGCCCTGATTTATATTACGTGGTTGAAATAAGGTACTTCTTATTATTACGTCAAACCAAATAACAGTCGGGCGACTGACATTATGCACTTCATAAATTTCGTATATCTAATTACAGCCCCATTAATTTCCACTAAAAGAAAATAAAAAACTTATAAATTTAACCAAAAATAGCTGCATTACTATGTCTATAGTCACATTCATACAAATCAAAAAGCCTAAAGATGAGCTAATGTAAAATATGCTTATGTTTTGATTTTTAATTTAACACTGTTAGGTTTAAAACTGTGAGGTAATATTTGAAATATACTTTCCTCTAATTACGAAGAATTTTTAGCCGACCATATTTGTAGTTAAGATTACTAGAAATCTTATTTACGAAGTAAAAAGACGGAAAGGCTGGAATTAGGGGCGTGGCTGGTATTAGGGGCATCCAACTTACCCGGGGTTTTTCGTGTCCGCCTCCATTGCTCAACTCGGGGAGAGACTGAAAATTTAAAATAAAATCTTTTTGTGGCTGAAACACATTTGGTGGGAGTGGCGACGGGCTGCGCGAGCGCGTAGTAGCAGCCCCTTCAATATATTCTGCGTCCGCCTCCATTGCTGGCGTTGACTGACACGTGATTGACGAAATGCCATTACACGTTCAATCAAAATTCGTGACTGATAGTTGATTGACGTAAAAATCAAAATATCCAGATATTTGTCAATCAATTTCATGCAACCGTCAATCACCGCGTTACACGATAGATTAGTTCTTCAATCACAACCGTGATTGTTGTAAAACTGACAGCAAAACCTACCGTGTAATGGGCGTCTTACAGGGCGACGGAGCAGGCACGCTCGCGCGATTATATTCAATTTCGGGGAAAAATGATATTTTCTCAAGTAAAATAGGGAATAAAAATAAAACTCTCAATTAAAAACATTATTATTTGTAAGACCTTTTTTATAGTGTAAAAACTAATTATAGAGCTTGTGCCGTTTTGAAGAAATTTTGCAAAATATGACAAAGACATTTGTCCTCTTCTGTCACCCTGTATTTTTTTCTTTGCGGATTAAATGAACAGTTATTGTGACTTTTTTACTTAAACATCCGAGAATTTAGGCATTTAACTCGCACTTAGGGCCTTAAAATATTTAAGGCACCCATAATGCTCCCATGTTGGGCGCCAAATTATTGTATTCGTTCGTATTCAGAGCAATTTGAGCGTCAATTTATGAATATCTATAACAGACCTTATAATTCATAAAGTGTTGCCGCGAATATTACTTACGGAGTTTCACATGCTTTATACTATTCCCTTATCACTTAATATTATGCTCAGTGTATGAAATGTTCCACTTAACGGCGCTTTTGTGAATAATTGTTTCAAATATGTTTTCTCCCGGCGGTTTCGGAGTGATATCGCTTGGGAAATTTTCGCAACGCTGCATTTGTATTTTGGGTGTTCCATTCGGATCTAATATTAAACGGACGTTATTTTTTACAAATATATTACAATCCTATTGTTCTGTTTAAATGCTTGCATACATGAACACATGAACTTTATAGAAATATGTGTTTAAGGTGTTCTAAACACTAATAAAAAGGATTACTTGCGTAGTTTCACCGTGCTAGAGCCACGCTGCAGCTATACCTATAGTTGCAGCGTGGTTCTTTCTTCTATTACACTAGTAGGGTTATTAATTCTTCTATTATAGTTGTAATGGGAATGGGTGGACGAACCGCGCTCTCACAGAATACCAACGCAAAATAGCAGCTTAATGCTACCCGTGTTTCATATGGTGAGTGTAGAGAACCGGAGACCATGTTTACTGGAAACGAGGCGTTCCATCTTAGTTCTCACCCCTGAGATACATACATATCTGCATTGATTCTTAATCGAGGGAAAATGTAGATATCTATGGGCCACAGCATCGACTTACCATCGGGTGGCAGCCCACCACCACCATCAGTGTGTCCCATATTCTACAAAAAAGGTCGGTTAACAAGCCATGCTTTTTTTTCAGAATCATAAAGATTTATTTGTATCGTCCAAAAGAACATAAAATGATCTTTCTTAAAAAAATGTTACATTCGATTCTGAATAGCAGCTGTTTGTCCGCAGACGTCCCGCACTTGGAGCTGGCGGAGCCGGACGAAGGCTACCACGGTCTAATCCGTGAGAACGAGACCCTCGTGGAAGTGACACCAGCAATACGCGCTCGAGGACCGCTCTGCTCCTTCCTCATTCTCAACAACAAACATCATGGGGAAGCGCCGTTTGAGGTAAGCCATTTTGCAGATACACACGTTATTTGCCATCCTTGCCACGCTTGGCAAGCGAGTTGGCAACTGCATTTTTTTTTATTTTTAGTCGTTATTATGTAGACGTTACTGCCTTTCTCCTGATTTGCTTCCCTCTGTCGCCTTTAAAGACATCCACGGGATGATAGGGGGTAGTGGTTGTTCTTACACCGCCGCTACACGGTAAGATTTTTTTATAGGATAGAGACACAAACGAGCACACAGTCCACCTGTTGATAAGCGGTTGCTGTGGCCCGTAGACATCTACATCTCTCCTCGTTTGTGAATCAAAATGCAGATGCGTTGTCACCCGTGAGGACTAAGATGGAATGCCTCATTTCCAGTAAAAAGGGTCTCCGGTTCTCTATACTCCGAAACACATATAGCAGCATTAAGCTGCTATTTTACGCTGGTATTCTGTGAGAGCGTGGTCCTTCCCCGGTCGAGTCGACCCATTCGTGCTACAACTATACTACTAATATAGCTGCAGCGTTGCTCTACCACGTGTAAAAGATACGCGTAAGTTGAGCCACTTTCGTTTGGTTAAACAAATAGCGAATAGTGGAATGCACCCAATATTTTACTTATTTATTGACCATGGATGATTTAAACGACAGTAGCGTAATGGTGTACGGATCGCGAACTCAAAGGACATTGGTTCGAATCCGCGAATCGTCTACTGTCATAAGTCGTGCTTGTAACGTCTCGGGAATATGAAATATGTTAATACATGTGATAAAATCCGCAAAAACTATTTTCATTTAAATGTGTAGTGTTTGCGTAAATATAAAAAGTCATTAAGGATACTTTTATGCGATGTTTTATAATATTACACAGACTAAAGAGCTCAGTTGCTCCAGTTATTGGAATGATATTTCTCGAGTATTTATGATACGAGGCAGGGGAAATAGAGTTATCTTACGTTCAAGCGGTTCAAATAAATGTACCAATACGAAACTTACTGCAAATCTCAACAATATACCAATATTTATTATCTGTACTGACAGATTTATAGAATCGACTACATAACTTTCCGTTTGAAAACGAATTTCACAAACGAATGTGTGAAACGTTGCAATATTGTGACTGGCAACTGGAAACAGCTATTGTAAAAGTTTCATGGCTAAAGTTTCGATAGGCGAGTGTTCAGAATGATGCACAGATGGAGTTATTCACGCTAAGTTAAACTAGTAACCTCGCGTAGGGTTGTAAGTAAGCAAACAGTTTTTTTTTTATATTTTACGTGGTAGAGCCACGCTGCAGCTATTTTATGGTTGTAGCACAGATAAGTCGGCTCGACCGGGGAAGGACCACGCTCTCACAGAATACCAGCATCAAATAGTAGCTCAATGCTGCTGTGTTTCGTATGGTGACTGTAGAGAATCGGAGACCCTTTTTACTAAAAGCGGGGTATTCTGCATTTAGATTCATAATCAAAGATAGATGTGGATGTTTTTTATAGAAGAGGGGGCAAACGAGCATGCGGCTCACCTGATGGTAAGTGACTACCGCCGCCCATGAACAACCGCAACACCAGGGGAATTGCAGATGCGTTGCCGGCCTTTTAGAAAGGAGTAAGCTCTTTTTCTTGATGGTCCCTAAGTGGTATCGGTCCGGAAAAATCGTCGATGATAAACGATTCCACGAAAAGGTGGTTTTATAAGTGGTAGAGCCATGCTGCAGTTATATTAATAGTATAGTTGTAGCACAAATGGGTCGGCTCGACCGGGGAAGGACCATGTTCTCACAGAATACCAGCGTAAAATAGCAGCTTAATGCTGCTGTGTTTCGTATGGTGAGTGTAGCGAACCGGAGACTTTTTTTACTGGAACAGAGGCATTCTATCTTAGTCCTTACGGCTGACAACGCATCTTTTGATTTTATAGAATAGGGCCACAACAACCACTTATCATCAGGTGGACTGTGTGCTCTTTTGTCACCCTTATTTTATAAAAAAAAGAGGAATGACTTCTATGACTAATAGCATCCATTTACCATCAGTTGGACTGCGTGCTCGTTTGCCACCCGTATTCTATAAAAAAATATCCGTAAGGCCGGGATTTCCGACGTTTAGCGCTCTCTTCGCCGCTGAATGCATATTGGTCCAGCACGGAGAAAGCGTGTGACATTCAGTGTACAAAAAGCTACTGTTTGAAACGTATTGCCTTATTATCAGGAAATAAGCATCTGAAAGAAAATGTGGCCGATTAAAAATCTAATTCAATAACATGCCTTTCATATTATCGAAAAATATTATATGATTGTCGCTTAAAAAAACGAGAGCTCAAACGTTTTTTCCTGGCGATTATCATTTTTATCTTGATTACTATAAAGTATTTATTCGTTAAAATTAAGAATTTAATTGAGTATTTCATGTATGCGCATAGTTTTTGCCGAACACAGACTAATTCTGCATCAATAGTCGAGCGTCAACGTCGTGTTTGAAATAGTATATTTTTTCCAACCTACGTCTCAACGAAGCGATTGTGAGTGTTTGTCAATCAGCAGTGATTGGCGAAACAGGGTGAAACAAGGTGTTCCTTATTCAAGGAATGCTACAATACGCAGTCCTGAACCACCTGCATCCACCGACTTCTTGCATGTCTTATCAGGTCGTCACTACCTGTGGTCATGTCATATAGTTGTGGGCCGACTCGAGAACCTTTCTTCACCATCGCTTGTCAGCTCTTTGCCACTTTAACTTACTAATCCTTTGGGCTATGTTGGTTACCCAACCGTAAATAGTGACTAATGACATCATACTTATCTTCACGCACAATCCCTGACGGGGTAGCCAGAGAGAACAGATCGCCAAGTGTCACGATCCTTACATACCTCTTTCGCTTCTTTCAGATTCATTATCTTCTTCATACATGCACGTCTAGGTATCCGAGTACTCTTGACCCTACCGTCTCCGAGCAATTTGCTCACATGGTCTTCGAAAGTTAGTCTCGGTCTACCTCGACACCTTTTAATATTAACTTTCGCGCTATATATTTTCTTCACCATTCGGTCTTCACTCATTCGCTCAACGTGCCCAAACCACCGAAGCACGCCCTTATCAATTTTTGTGATAAGGTCATCTTCCAAACCTGCCATATTGCGAATCTCTTCGTTTCGCTTTCGGTCGGCCATGGTAACGCCGCACATTTTACGAAGAGATCGCATCTCCACTGCATTCAACTTGCTTTTATGCTTCTTCTGGCATACCCAGGTTTCGCTGCCATATAACAAAGTCGGTACCAACACTGCGTTATGTATTGCAAGGCGTGCACTCTTCACTACGCCTTGCCTTTTGACTAACGCAGTCAGGGCACCATTGACTTTGTTCCCGGCAGCGACACGCCTGTCCACATCTAAATCATATCTTCCATCCCGGCTAAGAGCACTCCCCAAGTATACAATTTCATTTACTTGTTCTAGACATTCCTGAATTAATTAACATTAATGACATCATGTTTTCTTTTATGGTTACCATATGGAGGTGTAAGAAAAGCGACCACTCCGTTTCCTTGACACGATTGTCGTGAAAGCCGGTTTAGGACTTTGCTATAAACATTCCGTGGGCTGCGCGTGTCTTTTAAGATTCAAAATGTCTATGAATGAGATCATCTAACCGAGAAAGTACATAAAATCCGACTTTAAAAAACTAAAAAGACTAAAATAAATTCTCGGTTAGTGCTAGTCATAGTTTTTTTTTTAGTTTCATGAAGTCGACTTTTCCATTTTATTAAATGTTATTTTACGGGGTTGGTCACGTTAATTAACCACAAAGGTTACGGTTACGATGGGTTAGTGTGTGTAAACGGTGCCGTTGTCTGTGTAAGCAAATTAAAATATAGCTCGCACGTGTGAGTGTGCTTACCGTCTAAAGCCTTAGAGCATTTTCTTTATAGAATAGGGTGACAAACGAGCACACAGTCCATCTGGTAAGTGGATGCTGTGACTTTAAGACATCTACATATACGTATGCCGTATGTACGATACAAATAGCTACACTTTTCCTTCGTGAGCAAGTATTTTACATTACCGAGGCATTTACATACATAACGACGCAATCGGCCATCCCCGCATCGAGTTGATTTACATAATACTTAAGTAATTATCAATAAATTATATCTCTCATACCGTATCAGTTTATTATGATATCGGTGTCTATATTATGACAAACGAGCACACAGTCCAGCCGATGAGTGGATATTGTGGCCCATAGACATCTATATTTATCCTAGTTTGAGAATCATCATCAAAATGCAAATACGTTGTCACCCCTGAGAACTAAAATGGAATACCTTGTGTATGAAGTTGCATTTTATTTACATCAACGTAACAACCCTACGTCATCCAGGTATTTTTGAAACAGGTTGTTTAATTAATTCTTTTTCCTCGTCGCCGAACGGCAACACGTGCGATTGTCCGGGGACACAGTTGTCAGTACTGCCCCGAGATATTCTATTGATTTTATTGTGAGCTTCCGTTTTACAGTGCAATCGTTGCACACAGAACTATACGCATATAAAAATTATTTGTTAATTGTAGCGAATAATATCGAAGTTAAAGTAATCACAACGGCTTGGTATTAATTAAAATGACATACGTAAACCAATTAAGTTAGGTTGGTCGGTTCACAAACACTGCTTCGTTGGACTTGTGCTCGTAAGCGTGATTACGGATCGTGAGGTTCCGGGTTCGAATCATGGGTCATGGGCAAAAATCAGTTATAAGGTTTTTAACCCCGTGTTGGCGGTGTTGTAATTTCTTGTCTGGAAAAACACGCAAAACCGTTGTCTCTGCTCATGATCTCCCTTCGGTCGTGTCGGATTGTCGTCCCATCGGACTATGAGAGTTCACAAGTGCTTGCGCATACAGTCTGTTGAGAGTAAATGCTGTAACCGAAATTCGGTCCGAAGGACATTATAATAGGTAATATATTATGAGGTATAACTCTGAATAATAGATTAAGAAATTATCACACATAAGTG